GAGTGAAAACTTTCCAACCAGGTTATAAGAATTATTGCTCAGTCTCCAGAGATGCACGTGGCTTAGAATTATCCTCATGAAATATAATGCCCTTTCTCTTAACTAGTCTTGTAGACTTTTTATTGTTTGCTGCCTTGAATCAGTTGTTCAGTTCTCAAGAAGATGCTCAAAGATCACTTTTAAATGAAGATTGATGGTTAGTGGCAGGTCATTTCACCTGCCTGACAATGTCTGTCATTCTGTATTATATGTATCCACTTTGAACAGCCAGTCAATTTTTTTTAACATTTATAATATTTATGTAGTGAATGATGCATGAAAATACAATCTAGTAGGATTTTTGTCTGAATTAAATTGACTAACATAACCAAACTGATGCAAATGATCTCTGCTTGATTTGGATATTTGTAGGATGTTGGTTGTTTTCAATACTATATGTTGTTGGTTATTCTCAATAATGTCCTGATCTAATCACCATCCCCAATTTTTCTACCTGACCATAGAGAATTCTTCAGAATTAAATTTCCTACAGGAAATTTACTTTATTTTTTTTAATGAGTTCACTCCAAGCAAGGCAATAAAGTCACTAAGACACTCAGTTACTGAGAGTGAAAGAATTCTTTGAATAGAAAGGACAATAAAAGAACATGTTTAAAAGACAGAAGATGACAACTGACATTGCATTTAAATTTTTGAACCTCATAATTGAAAGGAAAACAAGAAGTTGAAAGAGTTCTGTAGGTGAGAAGTGTTAGAAAAGAAACTCTTAAAATAGAACTTATGTTTATAACTAGCAACTTCAACAGCGATATTATGAAACCTAGCTACCAATCTAGTACTACATTTAAATTCATGAAGGTGAGATACAAAAGAGGAAAGCTCATCAAAGCAATTACCATGAAAATATTTATAGAAAAGACACATAGAAGCTGTGTTATAGTGGTAGGAAAGTGATTTAAGCTGAGATGCCAAGTGAGAACTGATAACAATGCAGATTCATCTTTGGATTTTGTCAAAAATCTCTAAATACTCAGATGATTCACCAGACCAGATGTAGCAGTAATATTCAATGCATGGATGAATGGTAAACTTATAAAGGTGTGAGATAGATTCTAACAAGAAAAATTATCTGACATAACACAGTGAACCAATTTTCCCAGCAGGAGACCTAGCAATTGATTTCATATCATTCCAATTCATATCAATGAAAAATCTTAGCCTAAGAAGATGCATTGAGTTACTCTCCTAGAGGTTAGCATCAGCCATCCTGAAGGAAAGTAAAAAGTTGATTTAAAACTGCTTTTGAAACTTTTAATCATATACTGTAGTTTCTCTATAAACTATGCAAATCTTTGTGAACCATTTTTATACCTTGCTTAAAATATGCTAAAAATTGGGGGTTTTTTGTTGTTGCTTTTTTTGTTGTTGTTTTTTTGTCATTTTTTTGTTGTTGTTTTTTCTTCCAAATGTAAGAAATCAACTATATGCCAATTTCAGCAGTGATATTCTTATACAGCATTTGTCACAGTGCAAATCAAAAGTGATCATTTTGAATAAAGTTAACTGAAACTAAACTCCATCTAAATACTATCTCAGAACAAAATCAGACTTTAATACAACTCATATAATACAAATATATGCTCATCTTTGTATTGAGAGCAACTACCCATACATAGCTTTGAGTACTTTAGTGTATGCATATAAATATTTCATCACATTTTTATTCTTATATGTGCACATACACTGATTGAGAATTTTAACTCTACATAACTTGCATACAAATTGAAGCCTACATATATGAATATATTTTTTCCCTTCTCCATTATCTACCTTTTTACTTATTAAGGTTATTGGTTATTTCCAGATTTTTCTATTCTTTGTGTTTGTGTATTGGAAGATTACCTTTTTAGCATATCTGATTTGGTTAGAAATTATTTTTCTCCCACTGTACTACTTCTCTGAAAAAAAAATCCATAGCTAAACAATGGTTTACACTATAAGTAAAAAAAAATAAAAAATAAATAATTACAAAAATAGTTTTCTCTTATGTTATATTTATTTACTGTGATATTTTTATGAATTAATTGTAACTCATTTTACTTAGACTAACTTTCTTTTAAAAAACCTTTGTCACTAGGCTCTACTGAGTGACTTTAATGTCATAAAGTACACATGTATTCTGACAACCAGACCTTTTTAAACAGAAAAATTAAACTTTCACAAGCAACAGAAAATGTCGTTTTCTAATAGTTATTTGTAGAGATATATAAATAATTCTATTCTCTCTCTCCCCTTCTCTCTCTCCCCTTCTCTCTCTCCCTCCATCCCCCCTCCCTCCCTCTCTCTCTCTCTCGAAATCATTTTAGCCCAAAATATGACTACTTTTTTTTGTTTGTTTTTTTTCCTTCAGGGTGGTGAGGATTTCTTAGTTGGGCCAAATTTTTTCTGCATAACTTTGTGTATACACACAAATAACTTGTATGATTTTAACAAACCCAGTCTTTAATCTAAGCAGATCTCCTCCCATCCCTCAGACAGGTAATCATTTATTTAAAATTTAGATTATTTTCCTGAGAACTATTCTACAAAAATAATTCTCACCTGAATCTATCTTGCACATTTATAAATCTGCCATTCATCTGTGCATTAAATATTACTGCTGTATCTGATCTGGTACTTCTATGTATCTTGTGATTCTTGACAAAATCCAAAGAAGAATTTGCATTGCTATCAGTGCTGACCTGGCATCTCAACTTAACTCAAATTCCTTCCACCATAATGTAATTTCCCTATGCCTTCTCTGAGTATTTTCATGGTAATTGTTCTAATGAGCTTTCATTTTTGTATTTCATCTTAATTTAAACATAGTACTAAATTGGAATCAAGGTTTCATAATTTTCACCATTGAAACTGCTAAATGTAACTGTAATTTCTATTCATATAGTTTCTCCTGTTCTATTCATATAGTTTCTCACCTGTAAAATACCTTCAGCTTGTTTTCCTGTCAACTATGATCTTCAAAAATTTAAAATGCATCTTCCATCTCTTTGAATCCTGCTTTTTTATTGTCCTTTCACCGTGGCAAAGTTTTCTCAGTAACCATTTGTGTCTTTGTGGTTTTATCACCTTGCTTGGAATGAAATGACAGAAAAAAAAAGTATTGCTATTAGTAGGAGCTTGTTTATTGTCAGAAATCTGTACCAGGAGGATAAAGAGGAATTGCAAGAAAGCCGTTAAAATAATTTTATTTTTTACTGAAATTAGGAAATCCGTTAATACAAAGTAAGCAGCAAGTGATCAATATAAAAAAAAAAATACAAAAACTGAACATTTTTCTGTGTTATTAACATTTAGCACTCTGCATCATCTATAAATATTACTTCTCCTTTTACTGTATATGGAATCCCCTCAAAATATAGTTATATATATTAGTTCTAGTTAGTAGCCTGTCTTTCAATTTCAGTTGGGATTCTTTTAGATGTTGCCATAGATGGATTTGACGACACAAGCAATAAATTCAAATTCAACTTGCATTGGCAGGATTTACATTTTTCTTGGCAAAAATAGTTACCTGCAGCATGCTAAAGTTAGTCCATTTTATTTTTTAAATTGTTATTTCTTAACTCTGCAGGAGACAATAAATACACCACATAGACTGTATTTACCGTACTAATATGACCTTTAGTACTCAGGACAAATTCAGAGTAGTATTCATTTCTGTGAAAAAAAAAAAACATGATTTGAGAAAGTTTCTATTTTACCTTTTAAGAAAACGAAATATAAAATAGAAAAGAAATTGTGTTTTAATTGAAGTCTCTCCAATCTTCAGGATTTGATTTCACTTCTTTAAGTGTGTCATTAAACAAAAACAAAAACAAACATGTTAGTCTTATCTACTAGACAACTAACAATCTGTCACTTGGCAACAATTTATTCTAATGGAAAAAAAATCTTTGCCATTTCAGAAATTCTTATCTACAATGACAAGAACGAACAACAAAAACCTCAAATCCTGGATAGTAATTATTGAAATTTCAACTTGTAAAACTAAACAAAACTAAATACATGCAATATATATATATATATATATATATATATATATATATATATATATATATATATATATATATATATAGCTACACTGACACTAGTATAATTTAATACTAGCACCAAAAGCATCATTTCTTATGACTGTATATTTAATTTATATAATTGTCCTCTTAGCAGAATGACCAGCATGAATAAAAATGATTTTAATCACTCAAGTTAGATCTAGGATAAAATGCTTATCTTAATCATTGTGCATTAAATGTTACTATTTTCTAAAGAAGTAAAAATATGAATTCAGCTTAAAAAGGCAACAACCTTGGCAAACTTAGATCTTTATGCCCACAAAAACAGTGTATCAAAAAGACAGTTTTTTTCCCTTGACACTACTATTATTTTAACTACCTTCACTCCTCAGTAATGTTTGTTTTAAAAAGCAAAGATTATAATTGTAATAAAACCTAAACATATGATGAAAGTGAATTTATACATTTTCTTTTGTTCTTGAGAATTTACAACAAAGATATCAAACACTATTTATTTATTAGATTTACCAAAAATAATTTTATAATTACAACATTCTAAAAATGAATACAATTAAAACTAATGCAATATTTATTTACTAATTTATAATGAATTAAATATGGAAACAATATTCTTATTCCTAAACTTATAAAAATTAACTAAATTATTAAAATATGTGAACAAAATATAAGGAAATCCTTATTTATGATTTTATAAAGTTTGAATCAATTAGCAATGAACTGATATTTTGCCAATCATTCCAATAAATAATCTAATAGTGTTTATTATTTTTGTGGTCAATTTTTAAAGAACAAAAAATGTATAATTTCACTTCCATATGTTTAGGTTTTATTACCATTCTAATCATCACTTTTTAAAAGAATAAACATTACCAAGAAGTGAAGGTAGTTAAAATAACAGCGGTATCAATGGAAAAACCATCCTTTTTTTTCTTTCTCGTTTTTCTTTCTCGTTTTTCTTTCTCGTTTTTTTCATCGTTTTTTCTTTCTCTTTTTTTCTTTCTCTTTTTTCTTTTTTTTTCTTTCTTTTTTTTCTTTCTTCTTTTTTTTTTCTTTTCTTTTTCTTTTTTTTCTTTCTCTTTTTTTCTTTTCTTTTTTCTTTCTTTCTCTTTTTTCTTTCTTTCTCTTTTTTCTTTCTTTCTCTTTTTTCTTTCTTTCTCTTTTTTTCTTTCTTTCTTTCTCTTTTTTCTTTCTTTCTTTCTCTTTTTTCTTTCTTTCTTTCTCTTTTTTCTTTCTTTTCTTTTTTTTTTCTTTCTTTCTCTTTTCTTTCTTTCTTTTCTTTTTCTTTCTTTTTCTTTCTTTCTTTCTCTTTTTTTCTTTCTTTCTTTCTCTTTTTTTCTTTCTTTCTTTCTCTTTTTTTCTTTCTTTCTTTCTCTTTTTTTCTTTCTTTCTTTCTCTTTTTTTCTTTCTTTCTTTCTCTTTTTTTCTTTCTTTCTCTTTTTTCTTTCTTTCTTTCTCTTTTTTCTTTCTTTCTTTCTTTCTTTCTTTCTCTTTTTTTTTCTTTCTTTTCTTTTTTCTTTCTTTTTCTCTTTTTTTCTTTCTTTCTTTTCTTTTTTCTCTTTTTTCTTTTCTTTCTTTTCTTTTTTCTTTCTTTCTTTTCTTTCTTTCTTTTTTCTCTTTTTCTTTCTTTCTTTCTTTTTTTCTTTCTTTCTTTCTCTTTTTTCTTTTTTCTTTCTCTTTCTTTCTTTCTTTTTTTTTTCTTTCTTTTCTTTTTTCTTTCTTTCTTTCTCTTTTTTTTTTCTTTCTTTTCTTTTTTCTTTCTTTTCTTTTCTTTTTTTTTTCTTTCTTTTTTTTTTTTTCTTTTCTTTTCTTTCTTTCTTTCTCTTTTTCTTTTTTCTTTTCTTTTTTTTTTCTTTTCTCTTTTTTTTTTTTTCTTTCTCTTTTTTTTTCTTTCTTTCTCTTTTTTTTTCTTTCTTTCTCTTTTTTTTTCTTTCTTTCTTTTTTTTTTTTTTTGTGGACACAAGGTCCATTTTGAAATTTATTTATATTTGTACAAATGCCTTCATCTTTGTTATTATCACAACAGCTAAAACATTGCAATAGCAACAGAGAGGAAGATATTAGTCAGAATGTAATTAACAATAACTTTTCATTCCAGAAATTCGGGCAGAAAGGTGAAGAAACTCTGTGATTTGCATGGAGGCAGAGCATACCAAAAAATCAGGATATTAAGTCTTTTGTATGTGTGTGTACCAGTAAGTTTGTCTTGACAAGATAGGTTAACAGGGTAGGAATGTCTTGAAGTAATTAGATGTTGAGATAATTACTACAAATTTTGTTCCTGTTAATTTAATGGCAGGAATCTATGCTATACATTTGTGTTTATTACTGATCCCAAGAAAATAAATCTAATTAAATAGCCTCAAAGTACTTAGGGTACCAAGGAAACATCTCAGTGCAAATTAAAAAAAAAGAATTAATCAAAAGAACTACTGGTAAATAAAAGCCGATCATGTGAGTTACCTTTTTGAACCTTAAACATATTGGAATTTTAATAAAAACTAAATTGTATTGATTTTAATTAACATCAGAAAAGTTCAGATAAAATGAAATGTATATATATGCAGATTTTAATTAGATAGAATTTCTATGTTTGATTCTCAAAATTTTATCTTGCCCAGGTATTTTGAAAACAACTTTTTTCTGTCTACCTACCTATTGACCTACCTTTTTAATGCAAACCTATTTACCCACCTATTAGATATAATTAAATCTACCAAGAGTAAGAAATACAACCTCTAGCTACAGATGTGCCAAGCACCAGCTATAACTTAATATTACCTTCCCATTAAATTGCACAGTACACTGGTTCTTACTGAAAAAACTGAACATCAGTCATTGGGATAGAATGCTTTCACAATCTGAAATTATTTTATACATTTCATTTAGTGGAAATGGGATTTTTTTCTAAAGAAAGATTTATTTAAAATGTTTTAAATATAATTGTGGATAGATATACCAATTTCTTCTGCATTATTCTGGCCAAGCAGTATATAATCATTCAGTGTACAATAGATCAGTTATCGTCCCAGTTTATATTCTGAAACAGAAAGATCGCTGTTAAACAAATATTTTGCAAATGTTTTGTGGTGTATCAGCCACACTAAAAGCTCTTAAATGTTCCATCTTTGAGGACTCAAGACATTTTTGCAAATTGAGAAGCATTCTTAAAAATGTTTATTTCAAGATCTCTTAGTCTGTTGAGTAAGATATACATTTATCCTGTTGAATGTTCTTAAAATTTGATAAAATATAAAATAAGCATTTAATAGTTTTTGTCCATCAATTTAAAAAAAAAAAAATTAAATCGATTCAATGTACTTGATCTTGATTTTTAAACATACTTGCTTCTTAATCATATATATTTATAACCAGCATATTTTCAAAGTTATTTAAAGCATAAGAATAAAATAATTTAATATATAAACTATCTTGACAGAAGTATGCTTTTAACTTTTTATTATAAAGAAATGTAACATATTTTCTTAAGTTGTCAAGAGTGTACAAGTGTATTAATCGAAATCAGTAAAACCATCTTGTGAATGGGATGTTGAAGATTAGGGGTTGTGATCTAAGATAAATCCAATTTAACTCCCCTTTCCTTGAGCTGCTGTTAAATTTTTAAGTGATACTCATTGTAAGCTCAGAACTTCTTTAGCAATCCACGAGTTAAAGAGATTTTAAGAGGATGAAAAGTAAGTGGGAGTGATTTATATATTTAGAAATATTTTTCAATTGATCCCAATATGAGAGGGTGCTGAAAATTTCTTGGCTCAACCAAGAAAGAATTCCAAAATAAATTCTGCTATTTAGCCATCTGTGAGTTAAGTAGCTGCCAAAGATGGGCTCTGTAGCCATGGTTGGCAACCAGTCCAGGAGGACAACTCTGTTCAAAACTCGGCCACCCAGAGCTGGACATGTTTAGTAAAAGGTGATGGGGTGAAAATGCTATAATTATAAAACAAAAACATGATAGATTATGACAACTATGGATAATACCACTGGTGGGCAATTATCCAGGATGCTGTTGATGCCAACAGATATTTGGCCCAAGGAAGGCATCATTTGGTTAGAAGTGGATTGGCCGAAGAACTTTTAAATATCCTTTTTGTATGTTAAATGGCAAAATTTATTCTAGTAGAAAAATAGCTAACTGGCCAGGATATCAAAAACTGTATATTTTTTTTTTTTAAATCATATCACCCCATGTATAGTAGTAAAGCCACTAAGACACAAAAGGTTACTGAGTGTGATAGAATAAGAAAAAAAGAGAAACATTAGTAAGGAGCGAGAACAATAGAAGAGTAATCAAGAAGACAGCAGATAATCTCACATTACATTTAAATTTTTGAAGATCAAAGTTGGCTGGAAAGCATGTAGCTGGAAGTGTTCCACAAGTGAGAAAAGAAACTGTTAACATAGAACTTATGTTTACATCGAGCAAATTCAACTGTGAATCAATGTGACCATACTGCCAATCAAGTACTGCACTTAAATTCATATTCGTATGATAATGAAGAGTTCATCCAAACAATTACCATGAAAGTATTTATAGAAAAGTCACAGGGAAGCTACATATAGTATTAAAGTATAAATCCAAATGACTTGCTTTGTCATTTTATTAATTATCAATTTATTTTTTTTAAATCAGAGTGTAAGATATGACAAATTCTGGTGTTTGATCAGATTTGGAGAAGAACTTTCAAGCACCTCCCCCATATATGCTTGTTCATTGTTCTTAGTTTACTTTTTACCTGAGAATTTGTGGAAATTAACTCTTGCTATCCATAATGGAACTGGAACGAATCACTTTGTGCCATATTCTTGCTAACCTGTAAACCTTGATGCTGATTCTGCAAATTATATGACTGCGTTAATTAGAGAAGACTATTTGACAGATCTCCTCATAGTCTCAGCGTGTCTCCTCCTACATTCTCTCCTGTTAAGTTTTCATTTTTCTTAACATATTGCCTTTTAAGCAATAAAATGTAAGATTATTACAATTTCTTTGATTTATGCCTGAAACCCAAATAAATCTTCAATTTCTCCACCTCTAAATAGCTGTTCGATTTTTAGTCTCAGGGAGATTTAACTTAACAACAGACTGTTCTCTCATCATTACCTAACCCCTTTCATGCTGGGCCCCCACAGTCTGTGTGCACCATTGATTAATATGACATGCTGTTAGTGTTCGCCCTCAATGCTTGTCACAATTATTTTGATCTTTATTGCCTCCCAAAGACTGCTGTTAGGTCACTAAACAATGCAGCCTTGCAATAACTTAGCGTTTTTATTAACTCTGTTGGCAAATTTTCAGTTTGTTGAAAGATAAATTAAAAAATTTTTCTTGGAGGTAACGTTTTCTTTTGTTTAGTGAATTCGATGGTTTCAGCTGAGACAGGTATTTTAAAGTACAAATTAAGTCTTGTGTGTCTCAGTTAACCAAAATATAAATATCCTTAAAGGATATGCTGATTTTCTAAACTAGGCTTAGACATGGCACAAGACTGAAAGTATGGAGCACCCAGTGGGGATCAAACTCACTACTCAGTTGTAATTGTTCTAGCAAGAAAAGCTTGTTAACCATTACAACACGCTGTAGTGCCCCTTAAAGGATATGCAAATATTGCATTCAAAGGACTTGCATATGGAAGATTAGGTTTTAAAAATGACTGATTTTAATTTTCATAACTATTAATTTACTAAATTTACTAAGATTTGGATCCTGTAGTGCCAGTTTCTGCTCTTATCCCTCATCTATTACAAAAAAAGCATGCTTAACTCACCAAAGTTAAATAGAACCTGGTCAGTATCTAGATGGGTGACTACTTATGAATACCAGGTGATATAAGCTTGGATGTGCAGGTGGTGTAATGGATAATGGCTTTAAATTGGAAATTGGATAGCTGAGTTCCAATTTCAGTAGAGTTTGTTATATTCACTTATGTGCAAATTCCTTTGGAAGAGGCATGAATCCACCTCTTCTAAGTGTTAATTAGTAGAAATTATATCAGTAAAACCCATTATCTCAAACAAAAAATTCTTTCAATCTAAAAATATTTTCTGGTTTCAAATAACCTGCAGATAATAAAAAGCAAATCAATAAATCAACAAAAAAAGCATTTTAGTCAGTTATTAAAAAGATATTAATAACAGGAAGTATAAGGATTAGTGGATTGGAAAGAGAAATCAATGAAATGAGTTTGTATTCCAGTCAGGTTTGTTGTATTCAGTTTTACACAAAGACCTTTCGGGAACAGTATGAATTCATCTCTTCTTCCTTCTAGCTATGAGGTTAAATAGCTATGTGCCATGCATGGCGATCCTGTATCTTTTAATACACGACTGACAAGGCAGATTTTTTTTCCTGCAGCAGGTTGCCATTTCATTCTGCAGTAGACCAGTTGTCATCCAAGGCTATAGAACTTGGTCTGTCCTGCTATTTACCTATAGCTGAGGGGAGAAGAAGAGGATTCATACCTTTCCCAAGGATATTAGCATGTAACGGAATTGACTGGAATTCAAACTCGGCTCTCCGATTCCTCAATCTGAGCTGCTATCCATTACTCCACCATGACTCCCTTGTTAAATAGTAGGGCAGACTAATCTCTTCTCTCTGGATTGGCAACTACTCTAGGAGAAAGACAACTCTGAATCCAAAACAGAATTGTTTAGGCTCTTCTGCCTGGGTTGGCAATCAGTCTAAGAGAAAGTCAATGAATTTAAAACAAGTTGGGCATGGGTCTAGCAACTCTATCCTGGGAAGAAAGAAAAATTACTTGCTATGAAAAAAACAGTAGCAGTGCCTAGTCTATTAAAGCTATTGCCTCCATACTCCCCTATTGGAGTCTATAAGACTTGAGAGACATAAATAACAGATATTTTAATATTTTATAGTAAATTTTTTTTATATTTCAGTGCATAATTTATGAAATTTTCAAGTTGAATTTGGTATATAAATAAA